CAACCACAGCGTTGTGTTTCGCCGTGTAAGTGAGGTTACCGGAGGCCCAATCCTTCCCCGCCCCCAATCCCTCCTTTATCCCTAAATCTCCAAATCCCTAATCCCTAAAAGGTCGGCAACGCACTCGTAACATCCCGTTGCGGGTGTCCATGGGCGGCGCTGATTGCTTACTATCAGGTACTAATCGTTTGCCGACTTATTACATAAAAAAAAGTCTCATACCTAGGTAGGAATGGAGAAAGGGCCCAAAACAGCTGATGTTCAGCCGGGGATGCGAGTCAAACGCAACATAATCAGCGGCTCTATAGTCTCTAAAAAACTATGCCAATTTTGATAGAAAACCCAATTTAAAATAGCCTAAATAACCTTATTCGAATGACCAAAATAAGCTTAAATCCAGTAACAGCTATAAGATGATTCTTGGGAATCGGTTTGCGTTACAATTTCCGTGGCGCAAGCACTGTGCTATAAATCGTCTTTAACATTACTATGTCTTAGGACACAAGTTTGCGACCAGTGTGCATCGTTCCTTGAATTGTAAAGATGATTGTACACCGATGGATTTGTTTAAATTCTTTTTGTTTATTTATTTGCGTACCATAATGTTATAGGTGTTAATAATGAGCTGATGTTGTAAAAGGCTTAAAGGTAGGTACATATTAACGACCCTGTTAGGGCACAGCAAAAAAAAGCAAACTAATTTTAACATTATAATAAGGGGGTTGAGATTAGGAAAGCGATATTTTATAAAGTAACTAGCTTTTGCCCGCGACTCCGTTCGCTTGGAAAAGTGACTTCCTGCAGATTTTTGGTATAAAAACTATACTATGTCCTTTCTCGAGTTCTAAACTATGTCTCTACCAAATTTCACAGAAATCGATTTAGCAGTTTAGGCGTGAAGAAAGACAGACATATTTACTTTCTTTATGATATTAGTATATCTATACTAATATTATAAATGCGTAGTCAAACAAGCAGACGTATTATCTGATGGAAAGTAATCAGCAGTCAAACACTAGAGGAGTCACAGGCGCCTTTCATGACGATTTCTTATTTTCTCCTGTTCCTGTTTGAACAGGCTAGTATCCCGCGCTGATCTCTGGAACTGCGAGTTTAAATTCTATTATTCATTTTTTTATTTTTTTTAACGTGTCCCAGCCAAGATTGTTTCCCTGTGTCGTGCGTTTACAAACATACGAATTCACACACAAAACCCAACCAGACCCGAAACAATAATTTCTGGATCACACAAAGTGTTGTTCCTTGAGGGAATCGAACTCTCGACACGTTGCACAGCGGCCAGTTGCCCAGCCCCTGCGCCAACCGTGCAGTCAATTTGGATAGGTAATTCCGTAAGGAAGGTTATAGGCTATATAATGCTACGCTGCCACTAATAAGGGCCGAGTGGTTGATGAAACTGAATGACATAAACAAAATACACTTGTTATAATAAAAAATCCCGTTTAAAACTGGACAAGTATTGTAAACCAGGTCTTAAGTGAAGTATAAATCGGACCTCAGTGCAATTTCGAAGCGGTCCACGGGCCTCGCGCAGCGGAACTATAAATCGTAGGAGTAGGTCCACCTAGGTGCTAATTATTACGTGGTATCATTACTAATGGGGACTACCGTTTTTTACAAACTAGATGGCGTTAGTGTGCCGCTCTCGTGTTTCGACCAATAGGAAATGAGCTAGTTTTACATTCACATCGTGGTTGGTCAAAGTGGCATTTTCTATGTCTCATCAATTTAAAAAAAAAGTTGCCCCACATTAGGATTTTCTCTTGTGTTATGGGTGCGTTTACAAACATCACATCACAACCAGACTCGGAACAACAATTTGTGGATCCCGCAAAGAGTTGTTCCCGACACGTTGCGCGGCAGCCAGTTACCCAGCCACCGCGCCAACCGTGCAGTCATATTTACATTTTTAATAGAGAGGGTGATTGAAGTGCAAACATCCATTGAATACCTACTGTAGAAATTTAGTATAAATCCCACGAGCAGCACGAATCCCTAAATCTCCCACATCTCTAATCCCCAAAATGTCAGCAACACACTCGTAGCTCTTCTGTTGTTGCAAGTGCCCATGGGCGGCGCTGATTGCCTACCATCAGGTAATCCGTGTGCTCGTTTGCCGACTTTATAAAAAAAAGAAAGCCTGCCAGGCTAATCACTTTGCCTGGTCTCCTATATTTCCGATATCAGGGAACTAAACTCTCTATTCCCTAAATATGATTAAGTGCTGTCGTTTGGATCGATAGCAAAATTATGACACAATAATTATTCATACTCGTAATCGCTTACATTATACGAAATAATAACTCAACCCTTACATAACCTAATGATGCTTAAAATTGACGCAAACTTCGGTCCTATTTCCTCTCGCTAGTTAACCCGTAAGCCCGGCCACCTAAACCCAAAAGTTTTTCAACTTAATCTGCAGTAAGGGTCTGACAGAGAATTAATCTATTGAACCAAACCCAGTTTTGTTATAGGGTTATCTAAAATCCCCACTTTATTTGCTAGTCGTTGTGTGCTTTACCCTCCAACGAGCCAGTTCTGCTTTTTAACGTGAAAATTGTTTCACAAAAATTTATTTTATGATATAAGGCCAAACGAGCATATATTTATTACCTGATGGTAAGCATCGGCGCGCAAAGACTACGTTACCATCCTTTTTGGGATAAGGGTTTTGGATATTATTTTTTTTTTTTGTGAGGGGGAAATCATCAAATGACTTCTCCCGCCCAAGGCCGGGCGGGAGGGAGTGTCAGACTCTTACTAACTAAAACCCCCCTGTTCCTTCTCCTGCTCTGGGCCGAGGTCGCGGTGCCTCATTGCGCTTACCCCGCAACCCCGGCTGAACATCAGCCCTATAGGTCCCCGTCTGTGGTGCTCTACTGGCTCTTTGAGGCGCGAGCGGAACGCTACGCGCCGTACGCTCGGGACTGGTTCTGGTCGGGCGGCGAGTTACCCTTACCTACTCGCCATCGGAAAACCCGCGCTTACGGTGGCCTCTGCAAGTAAGGGCAGCTCGCCGCCCGACCAGAACCAGGCCCGAGTGCCCAGCGCGTAGCGCTCCGCACGCACCTCATGGGGTTATACTACTCTGTCAAGAAAGTACCGGGAAAAAGTCAATAATACACAAAATGTTTGTTATTCATCTAAATTTATTTTATCACCTTCAAAGTATGCTCCTTCAGAAACGATACACTTACGCCAACGAATAATCCAATCATCGAAACTTTTTTTAAACGCTGTTTCCGGAATTGAGTCCAGTGCTCGCCGCGAATTCTCCTTTATGTCTTCTAACGATTGAAAACGGGTGCCACGAAGGGGTAATTTGAGTGTGGGAAAAAGAAAGAAGTCGGCTGGAACCATATCTGGTGAATATGGTGGCTGCTCGATGGTGTTTGTTGAGTGTTTGGACAAAAAATCGTTTACAATGATGGCCTTGTGCGAAGGCGCATTATCGTGATGCAAAATCCAAGAATTTTCTTTCCACATTTCTGGCCTTTTTCGTCGAATTTGTTCTCTTAAACGCCGCATAACGCTCAAATAATATTCTTTATTTACCGTTTGACCTTCGGGCAAGAATTCTGAGTGCACAACACCGCGATAGTCAAAGAAAACAGTCAACATGACTTTGACTTTTGATCGACTTTGTTCGGTCGTTCAGTTGGAAGGCGCCATTCCGAAGCTTGTTGACTAGTTTGCATGTCAAACTCGTAAACCCACGTCTCGTCACCAGTAACAATGCGTTTCATGAATGTTGGGTCGGTATTGACTCGTTCTAGCATGTCCTCAGCGACTTTTATGCGATTTCGTTTTTGAAGAAAATTCAGGTCTTTTGGGACTAGCCGAGCGGCAACACAAATTATTTGTTAAAATGGTACGGATCGACTCGTGACATACAGAAAGTTCGGCGGCCATCTCTCTCAAACTTGAATGAGGATTTTCAGTCACTATTTCCTTCACTTTTGCGATGTTAACTTCAGTTGCAGACGTTGATGGCCTACCAGAACGAGGCAAATCTTCCATCACATCTCGACCGCTTTTGAACGCTTTGTACCACTCATAAGCACGTGTTTTTGATAAAGTCGATTCACCGTAAGCCTTCTGTAACATTTTGAGTGCCTCCGAACACGAAATTTCATTGGCGATGCAAAATTTAAGACAAAATCTTTGTTCGATGTTTTTGTCCATTATGAAATTCGCAATACACACTAGATATTATAAAACTAAAAACAGCACTGTTTTTAATATAAATAACAGATGCAACTCAAATTCCGCGCCAAAATGGAAAACAGTTATGCCAATCTAACAACAACAAAAAAAAATAAAATTCGAATTTGGAACCATAAAAAAAACATTCATTCCCGATACTTTGTTGACTGAATGTATAAAAAGAAAATTTTCTTTTCTAAACAATCTAAATAACTCCTAAAAAATTAAAGAATAAATACCAGCGTAATCAGTGACCCGAAACCTTAGACAGCAATTCGTAGCACAAATGCGTACCCAAAGTGGCCATTAGTATAACCATCCTATCTGGAAGACATTCAGGAGCGAGTCTACGAAACCTAAGAGTTCCCATTTGTTCAACTCGGGGCTTTAAATGAGGACAAATTTCAAATTTAAATCGTTTCGTTTAAGACGATTGATGACGTCACAATCCTCGGAATATCACGTGACGAAGACACCCTATTACTTATTATTGCTTTTAGGATTATGTTTTCATCAGATTGAAGCTTAGAAAGATCAAAATAATTGAATTTTATTTTCTGTTTATATTTTTTTGAGAGTTTATTTGTTTTCTGTTTAGTGCCTTTATCTTATTATTGTATAGAGATGTGACTGTTATATTTTTTTCAAATTATTTTTTTTTGTCAAATACACTTGACTTTTCTTGCCTTGAGAAGCCGTAATAGGCAGTTGTTTTTTAGCCAGTAAAGAGTATTACTTCTCCTGCTTTAAGCCAAGGGCGCGGTATTGCGCTAGCCCTGCACACACTGCAACCTCGGCTGAACATCAGCCCTGTAGGACTTCGTCTGTAGTGGTTTATTAGTGCGCGCTCTGGCGTCCTCGCGCCCTGGCGTCATCGGGTAATCGCGCTTACAGTGACCAGAGTTCATAGCTCGATCCCAACACCCAGAGTGTCGCCTATTGCGGCGGCTGGGGCGTGAGGAAGACCTTACGCACTCCGCCTCCTCCTTTTGAGACCAAGACTTATACGGACTATATACGCAGAAAAAAGAGGCGGCTTCTTCGTTTCGTAAGCTGACATTGTTTGCTGGTGGGGTTAAACTGGAAACTGGAGCAAATTCAGTTTACCCGAATTTAAGAGTCTCTTAGACATAGGGCTGTTTCGGTTCTTGAAGACGTTTTTGAGAAGGGTAGCGCGATGGCCGTAAAATAAAACTAATAATTCAGCTGCAGCTATATAATCTTTGATATATTTATTTCCATTATTGCTTTAACGCTGATTTTTCATAGTCAGATAAATGTTATCTGAGGAATGAAATTGTTGCTGTCACTGTCTTATACAAACATTCTGATGCGACAGCATCATAATTATTCCCCAGACAAGTTTCATCTAACCATTGAAAAATCAGCACTTAACAAACAAATTGAGTACATATTTCTTATCCATTGGTGAGTAGCAGTTTGTCGTTAATATATGTCCATATATGTCTCCAAACTTTTTATTATTTATGTCAGAGCCTGAAAAGTAAATATTGGATTTTTTTAAATATTATACAAAACTGGCAAGAAAATTAACAATAGATAGAGATTCGTTTGTTTCATATTCATGTGAGTTATACTCATTACTTTTGTGTGCCTTTTTCATATGGTCTGTCAATATAATTATATTATTCAGTAATATAATACCTACACGAAATTAAGACCCGAAAAACGTTTGATATATTACACGAACAATTAGTAATTTCGGGAATCGAGCGAAACGAGCATGTGTAAAAAATTTACATTTTTAGACTATTATTTATTTATATAATTATATTTTATTGTACAAATGGGCACATACAACAGGCGGTTTTATCACACAGAGTGATTTCTTTTAGAAAACCTTTGGATAAATATTAAAAAGAAACTGGGAATGCCTAGGGTACTTAGTAAAATCAATTGTAACTTACGGATTCATATATCTAAAAATAAGAAACAAAAGGAATCATTATTTTGTTATCTGTTTTCGGTACAAAAAACTGAAGAAAGAAGAGGACTTTACAAATTTTGCTTGTTCAATAGACAGTTAAAATTCTTTATAAACCTCACCGCAGCATCAACTTAAGTTACCGGAGGACTAATCCTTTTTCTCTCCTCGTCTCTCCCTAGTCAGTAGTAGTAAGTGTGCACTCCCACACAACACATGCTTTGACACGAATGTGTCGGATCGACCCGAGTGATACCACGGCCTCACAGAAAACCGGCGTGGAACAACCACAGCGTTGTGTTTCGCCGGGTGAGTGAGTGAAATTGGTCGAGCCGTTGTTGAGTTATGCGCTTACCAACACATTTTGCGATCCATTTTTATATATAAAGATTATAACACTTATATAAATTATGATAAAGTCTAACTTACATCAATGGACTGGAAATAAGAAAGAAACATATGAATTAAAAAAACAGTGCTTAGTAACTAATACAATTCTACATTATTAGTATTAGTATTAGAAGTATTTGCTTTTCAATGGCCGTTACCTTCGTGTTCGACACAAATTAAAAAAAAACGTATTAATTTAACGTAAATGTAAAAAAAACTTTATTTTCTTCCATAACAGCAGGTTTTTTCTACATAATTATAAAATAAAATTATAACGCTAATAAAATATATTAATAAAATTAATTATAACTTACGACGGCGTTGTTCTGTGAATGAGGAATAAGTAAGAAATAAAGAAAAACAATATCAATGTTTGGCACTCTATTTTCAGAACACAACACTACAGCCAAAAATAAGTAAGTAAATTAAATTTATTTCAATTCAAGTTTTATCACTTTCATGAATATAGGGTCAGTAGCATTTGAGCATCAGGTAATGATTTGAATTGTAAATGACAATTACTCTTTACAATTTATCTTTATATTTTATGGAATGAGGCATAAATATTTTTAGATTAAGCTATTAAAATTCTTGGAATAAGCCATAAATTAAGTTATAAATATTTTTGGAATGAGTCATACACACTTATAACATTTTGACAAGTATTGGCGTTGAGGTACTGAATCACTGCCACTTACGACAAACGATATTTTTAAGGCTCATCACGAGGCATGGAATCAGTATATAAAAATAATAACTAAAATCAATTGTAACTTACTCTTTTAAACTGGAAATGAGAAATAAAAGTAAGATAAGAAAAAATTACAGTGTTTGGTACTTTTTTCGAAAAAAGACACAACAGATTTTTAAACTAAAAATAAAGGGTACTTAAAATATTACTACTTTAATGAATATTGAAGATTCTACGCAAAATTCATCTATAAAGAGAAAATCGAAGTATGTGAGTTGTAAATGAAGAAAATTGGAAATTGACTGGAGATCAGTTTTCCTTAATCTATCCGACCTCTTTGAGCGTACCATGCTGGTCACCATTTATATGTTTTTTTGACAATAGGTCAACTTTTCTCATATAACTTACCTCCTTTTTCTAGAAAACAGATATAACAATATATTTTATTTTATTTATTACACTTCTTGCACAACGTACAATGGCGATTATTAGAAGAACGGAGATTTTTGTTGTGTTGCGAGCAAACATACTGAAAGTGTAAAGTTAAATAGGAAGGTGAAGAGGTACACCCTCTTCTCTGGAGAATAGAAAAAAGAGTAGTTAATGCCCTCATCTCACGTCGCTGTCTTATCGGTAGCCATTTTAGTTGCGCTCGATACGCTGACACATGATCGTAATTGCGGAGATTAAAGACGAATCCAATGCAATTATTGAGAAACCGGTCAATTTTTGCATTCAGGTCTAAGTAGCAAACATCACCATAGTCGATTATAGGGAAGATAAGAGTTTGCACAAGCGTCGCCTTTACACTGAACGGTAGCAAGTTTTTGAAGCGATAGAGGAACCGTAACATTTTTGTGACTTTGTGACTGACAGCTGCTACTTGTGCTTGCCAGTTGAGCGAGGAGTCAAGGTGTAGGCCAAGATTATTTACAGTGCAGCTGTACGGTATATTTGTACCATCAAAGACAACAGTTGGCAAGTCATGAGCGTCAATTTTACCCACAATTCTTGAGCTACCAATAATTATGGCTTGACATTTGCCAGGATTAACTGTCACTCCAAACCTGTGAGACCAGTTCCTTACCAACTCCAAATCCTCGTTCATTTTTCTGAGAGTAACTTCCAGTTCGCTTACTTTAGTGTGACGATACAACTGCAAGTCATCGGCATAAAGATGATACGAACACTGAAGTTCAGAATTAAAGAAATTTATAAATATAGAGAATAATAGAGGTGAAAGTATGCTGCCTTGAGGAACGCCAGCATCCAAAGTACACCATGCTGATGAACCTTCATCCACCTGAACTGACTGCTGGCGATCCCGAAGATAAGATGAAAACCAGTCTAATGACTTAGAAGAGACCATAATATGGGACCGGATCGACAAAAGGATATCGTGACAGACAGTATTGAGCGCATTAGAGAAATCTATCAGCACCAACACAGTGATACTAGCGTCTTCCATAGCAGTTCTAATATCGCCAGTCACTTTAAAGAGGGCAGAGGAAGTGCTGTGTCCTGGCCTAAATCCGGATTGCATCGGACTCATGAGGTTGTTGCTATAAATAAAACGCGCAAACTGCTTATGAGCACAAGCCTCCAGCACTTTGGATAGGAATGGCAGGATAGAAATCGGACGAAAATGACTGGGAAGAGAAGGGTTGGAAATTTTGGGAAGAGGACGCACGTAAGCTTTCTTCCAATGTGAAGGGAAAACTCCTGGGAAGAAAGAAAAATTTACTATATGGGTGACAGCAGGAAGGATTGGGACAAGGATAGGGACAATTATCTGACGGCTGATGTTATCACACCCAACCGCTTTAGATTTGATGGATAGGATAATTTTTTTGATCTCTTCCTCATCAACTGGCGTAAAATCAAAACATTTGATGTCGGGACGCGTTAGACCAGATAAAAATTTATAGTATCCTGCTGTACTAAATAGTCCAAATGAGAAAAAGTGCAAAAATGACTATTTAAAGCATCTAAACTGTGTTAGTTTAGATGCTTTAAAGCATCTAAACTAAACCAGCAACCAGGTCGAAATGTCGCGATTTGCCAATACCCAAAGATCCAAGGAACTTCCAGATATCAGTCGAAGACGATGACGATATATTATTGAGTATATGGCGGCGTTTAGCGTTACGGATCATCATATTACACCGATTCCTTGCAGTTTTTAACTGAGACCAGTTTTCATCAGTGCGCTCTTTTTTAAATTTCCGGAACGCACGGTCTCTTCTACGCATTGCTATTTTTATAAGTTCTGTCAACCATGGTGCAGGTGGCCGTTTCAATCTGACACACTTAATTGGTGCATGGCGATCATATAAAATGTTCACCATGTTATTCAAAATTTGAAGTTTCTCGTCCACAGCATCGGAGCTCATTAGTGGTGTCCAATCGATGTCCTGCGCATCCTTAAGCAGCCGATCAGCATCCATCCTTGCAAAGCAACGCCTGTGCAAAATCCTAGGCTTAGGATTTGGAGGTTTAAGGATGTAGGAATGGAACATGAGGTCGTGATAAGAAAAACCGGGAGCAGCATATTGACCGTGAGAGGAAATAAGGGAAGGGTTAGACGTTAGAATTAAATCCAGCCAGGAATCATCACCAATTGTAGATCGATGTGTAGCCTGAAGAGGTAGAACACGTAAGCTACATGATTCCAAAACGTGCAAGAGTTGAGGGGTACGAGGAGAGTTAGGAGCAAGGAGATTTGTATTGAAGTCTCCCATGATGATGTAATGTGCATACTCAGAACCCAGCGATTCTAAAACCGATTCCAAAACAGTGAAGTACTCGAGAGAGGGTGGGCAATAAACAACACCAACGACAGCCTCGGCTCCTTTAACTGAAACCTCCAAAAAAAGAAATTCAGCGCTATGCAGTGGAGTAGACGAGGTAGCCAGCATCTTATAAGGAATGTCTGATCGAAGGTATATTGCCACGCCACTCCCTCTTCTCCCAAGCCGATCATTCCGAAAAAGAACGAAACCAGGAAGAGGGTACGAGGTGGACAAGAGATTTGGTTTGAGCCAGCTCTCAGAAATCAGATCTCAGTAATTTTGAAAAACATCAGAGCTTACAAATACAACTCCACATGTCATAAATATTTTTGGAATGAATCATAAATATTTTTTGATAACTAGGACTTTAGACTAAAGTAATGTTTCTCTGGTTGAAATCTATTTGTAGAAGAAAAGATAATGCGACGTTTTTACAAAGGGAGGCCCTGATTCACTGAGCAGCATGAAATAACCTTCAGACTAATTCTGGACAAATATCATAATTATAACTAAATATGCATTAAATTATAACTCACGTATATGGGCTGGAAAAGCCAATAAGAAAATTAATATCAGCATCATGTAAAAGTGACAAATTGAAAAAAACTTATAGTGCAAATAGAAACACAATAGAAATACAAGAGGTTTTGAGATTATCGAAATCCTTTTTGATAATCTCTTCAATCCATTCTCTAGCCATGCCGCTGTTACTTGTAAAGAAAGCAGCACTCGCACAGCGAATTTGTCGTAAAACATGTTTGCAAACAGTGGCTGGCAGTATGTACAATAATAAATAATTGATTTTATTGCTCGTTCTTCTCCACTCAAAACTACAATTTGGAATGAGCACCTAGCTTCACTGACGAACAGTCTGATAGACTACTATTTAATTCTATTTTGACGTGTCAAAAGTACCTATTTATGTTTAAGTTGGAACATTTTTTTGATTTGATTCGATTACATGACCTCTTGGAGTCACCAATCAAAAGGCCATTGTCATCTTTGTGCACGCGGTATCAACTAGTTTCGCGGTCAAGTCTATAGATTTCATACCTATCTTCAAATAGTTTAGCATCGTAAACACCGTTGTTAAGCAGTCTCCCTAAGCACAACTACGAGGTCATTTTGCATGGACATATACATACATACATACTATAGAAAATATTTATTTTCAACATTGGTTGGTATAATTAATATCATTGATGTTTAGAATGTGAAACGCGAAAGAGTAAAACTTAGTACTTATATCTTTTTTCGGTTTAAATCTACGTAGGTACATCTTAGTAGAAACTACCTAAGATTAGTTAGGCATACTCCTTACTTCGTTCCAACTCCTAAGGTTCAACTACTTCTTTCTACCTTCGTTACAAAAAATATGGAATTCTAATTTCTTCACGAAGTTATTATAGAGTCATCACAAAAATATTTTTTTGGCGTTGAACAATTAAATTAGTTACTCCTTAGAGCGAGATAAGTATATTTACTTTGAGACACTTTAGTGGAAACTGTGTTTATTTGTAGGTCACTCTTCATGGAAGATTAGCAAAGAGTATAATTAGAGCAATTAGGTAAAAGTGTCATTGATGTAAAGTTTTCATTGCTTTACTAGAGCGTCATCGTTAATCATAAAATATTTTCTTTATTTTGAGGGAGAGCCACGCTTCTCCACTTTAAGGCCAGCTTGAATGGCGTGAAAAAACAGGCAATACCCTTCCCAGTCCCAATTACCCAGTTCCCGAATTGATAAAATTAATCGTAAAAATCCTTACGTCCAAGAGAACGGCGTCTTATGTGGATATCTTCTAGTGGTTCGTTTATCCCTTATCCTGTTTTGACAAAAAAAGTTACATTATGAATAGATCAGAGACCAAAACTGAACAAAACAAACTCTAAAATTTGTTATTAAGGTATTCCAAGATTGATCATCACATCTCATTTCAAAGTCATTAACGATCAGTACGCCACTGATTCTTCATTTTGTACTGTGAATTAGCCATTGGGGATTATTAACTAGACAGCTATTGTTATAGCTATGCTAAGACATTAAATAATCTGACGTCATCTCGTGTTACATAAAAGTCCGTAATGAGGTAAATACAACTAGGAAGTAGGTCCAGAGATCAGACACAATTTTGACCTTTCTGGGCTTTCTTTTCACTAAAAGGAATCATATTTAAATAAGAGTTTTAAAATTTCTGCATACTCCTTAACTTCTGTGATAAAACTTATAATTCTATTGGCTTACTAACTTATAAGTCTGTGAGGTTACTGAACTTTTTACATTTCGATAGTATTATGATATTTAGTTAGGAATTTCCCGTTTCCCAAATTCCTAAGGTTAGGTACTTGTTAACTTTTATCTTTATTCAGACAATGAAAATTGAAAAAAGTCATAAATATTTTAGGATATAAGCTATTAATATTCTTGGAATAAGTCATAAATTAAGTTGTAAATATTTTTGGAATGAGTCATAAACACTTATAACATTTTGACAAGTATTGGCTGAGGCACTGAATCACTGCCACTTACGACAAACGGTATTTTTAAGGCTCATCACGAGGCATGAAATCAGTATATAAAAATAATAACTAAAATCAATTGTAACTTACTCTTTTAAACTGGAAATGAGAAATAAAAGTAAGATAAGAAAAAATTACAGTGTTTGGTACTTTTTTCGAAAAAAAGCACAACAGATTTTTAAACTAGAAATAAAGGGTACTTAAAATATTACCACTTTAATGAATATTGAAGATTCTACGCAAAATTCATCTATAAAGAGAAAATCGAAGTATGTGAGTTGTAAATGAAGAAAATTGGAAATTGACTGGAGATCAGTTTTCCTTAATCTATCCGACCTCATTGAGCGTACCGTGCTGGTCACCATTTATAAGTTTTTTTGACAATAGGTCAACTGTTCTCATATAACTTACCGTCTTTCACTGGAAAACAGATATAACAATATAGATTTTGAAAAATATCAGAGCTTACAAATACAACTCCACGTGTCATAAATATTTTTGGAATGAGTCATAAATATTTTTGATAACTAGGACTTTAGACTAAAGTAATTTTTAATAACAGCGCTATATTTGCGGCGTTTCTCTGGTTGAAATCTATTTTTAGAAATAAAGATAATGCGACGTTTTTACAAAGGGAGGCCCTGATTCACTGAGCAGCATGAAATAACCTTCAGACTAATTCTGGACAAATATCATAATTATAACTAAATATGCATTAAATTATAACTCACGTATATGGGCTGGAAAAGCCAATAAGAAAATTAATATCAGCATCATGTAAAAGAGACAAATTGAAAAAAACTTATAGTGCAAATAGAAACACAACAGAAATACAAGAGGTTTTGAGATTATCGAAATCATTTTTGATAATAACAGTTCTATACACCTACTAAACTGATACGATATAACTTACCTATTTTCACTGGAAAACAGATATATCAATATAAAATTTGAAAAACATCAGAGCTTACAAATACAACTCCACGTGTCATAAATATTTTTGGAATGAGTCATAAATATTTTAGGCTGGAAAAGCCAATAAGAAAATTAATATCAGCATCATGTAAAAGAGACAAATTGAAAAAACTTATAGTGCAAATAGAAACACAACAGAAATACAAGAGGTTTTGAGATTATCGAAATCATTTTTGATAATAACAGTTCTATACACCTACTAAACTGATACGATAGAACTTACCTATTTTCACTGGAAAACAGATATATAAATATAAAATTTGAAAAACATCAGAGCTTACAAATACAACTCCACATGTCATAAATATTTTTGGAATGAGTCATAAATATTTTTTGATAACTAGGACTTTAGACTAAAGTAAAATTAATATCAGCATCATGTAAAAGAGACAAATTGAAAAAAACTTATAGTGCAAATAGAAACACAAAAGAAATACAAGAGTTTTCGAGATTATCGAAATCCTTTTTGATAATCTCTTCAATCCATTCTCTAGCCATGCCGCTGTTACTTGTAAAGAAAGCAGCAGTCACACAGCGAATTTGTCGTAAAACATGTTTGCAAACAGTGGCTGGCAGTATGTACAATAATAAATAATGGAGTTTCCATTAACATATATATATATAAAGCTAGGTACTTGTTTCTTCTTTAGGTCGCTGAGCTGAGTAAAAATTTTGAGCTTGACAAACAGTTGTATGTAACTTAGAGGTAGATTTATTTATATTAATTTGGATATCCTTATATATACATATATATAAAAAACAGTTCTATACACCTACTAAACTGATACGACAGTTTGTTAGTGGCAATCTAGTGAAAAAGATCCCAAAACGACTTGACTCGACAAAAAGTATTTAATAATTATAATTACGACTTGTAACTTACGGTCTCCGAGGCTCCTAAATAAAAGAATGGATAATTAATTTTGGTGCATAGGTACTTTATTTTTGGACCAAAACAATACGAAATTACATACAGACATAAAATGTAGCAGGATTTATCTTTATGCATAATAATTGTATTTTTAAATAAATACTTTTAATTTTTTTCATTTAAAAAAAGTGCCCCACACTATGATTTTCAAAACAACTCTTTATGTGATCCACAAATTGTTGTTCCGTGCGGGAATCGAACTAGCGACACGTTGCGAAGCAGCTAGTAGCCTAGCCACCGCGCCAACCGTGCAATCTATACCAATGTTATAAAGAGGTAAAATTTGTTAGTTTGTATGTAGGGGGTAATCTTTGAAACCGCTGGTCGTAGTGCTAAAATTATTTCATTGACAGATAGCCACAAGGTTCCTGAGTGCTATAGGCTACAAAACATCAAGCGGGTGAAACCGCGCTACAGTAGCTAGTATACTTTAATATTACTCTTTAATGTTAGAAGTATCGAACGGATCTGAATGAAAGTAAGAACAAACATAGAAGCTAGCTAATCAAGAGTAAAATTCAATGTTACCTTTTTATGCGTTTTTAATCGGGCCGGAGATACAACCTTAATAAAAATAAAAACATGTTGAATGTTAGTAAACATTTTCTTATTTATTTATGCGCAGGTGTGCATAGCTGGACTAAATGCTTTAGGCATGTTCTGCCAGTTGAACCATGGGTGATGCAGGGACGATCCAATGATTGGTGCAAGAAGCAAGCAGATAGATATCATTTTATAAGTCGGTACAATAGTAGTAGGTAAAAAATGGCGGTCATTTGTCGTCCTTTTCTTTCCTGATGAATGACGGCTCGTCGTGTCCGACATACATTGCTGATAATGTTCATATATTTGGGTGTGCGCCGGCGATGCCGCGGTCTGCCGCAGCAATGTACACAACTAACGCACGACGCTACGCGCGACGTGCGTACAATTTCATTGTTGCCGTATTGAGTTATTATAATTCCAGATTGTTGGACTTACGTATTGGAGTTTGATATTCTGAAATGAAATTTGATTATTTAATAATCAAGTTGGTACTACAAAAACAACATAAGTTGTCGTATTACCTAAAAAAAATTAGATATTAATAAAAAAAAAACTTACGCCCAAGCCATAAGCTCCATTTCTTATTTTCTGAAAGTCGAACATTTTACATTTAAATATTATTATGTACCTATACATACCAAATTGTATTAAAAATCCAAGAACATTATCAAATATACTTACATTTGGATTAAAAGCTGGTTTCTATAAAACAAAACACGATACATACACTTGCGTTTAAAATTATGGGCAAAATCACAGTACTTAATTAAAAGTTATGAATGTAAAAAAAACTTACATAAGATACTCTTAAACTCTGCAAAAGTAAAGTTGTTTTAAGATATTAAAATTGATTATTTAAAAAAACCAATTGAACCCAAAAACATAAAAACTAAACTGGAATACTTACGCCTCCTCTATGTTTCTATATTAAAAAAAAACAATAATCATTAATTCATTTTTTGAACATATTTTAGATAAACACAGAAAACGGTTTTAAGCTACGCACAAAAAGAAAAAGGTTATAATAAAGATCGTAGTGAAATTAGTTATAATAACAATATTTTTTTATTTAATTAAGCGCAGGCTTTTTCCTCTATACATATAAGTTCCCGATAAACTTATGAGGCAGACAGCTAAGCAAATTGTGTTCTTTATTCAAATTTATCTGGTACTATAGAGCCATAAAGAAAAAGATCTAGACTACAAGTTCCATAGCCGGACTTAACCACAGAAATACATTATGATAAAGAAAATTAAAAGATTAATAATATTCAGAATGAGATAATTTATTACAATTTCATTACTTACTACGGCCAGAGCGATCACTTGCTGCGTTATACGGCTAAACAAGTCATTCTGAAAACGAAAACGTTCTTTTAACGGTGTGCATCTATCTATCTCTTTTTAAAAGACTTGCTTATTTGCGATCAATCTATGCTGTCCAACAGTTTTAGCTTAGTTTCATTGTCGCTATGTCTGATTCTTTTGTGGTTGACAGCAAACGAGCAGTCGGATCATCTTGCTGTACGTAATCTGCGTCGCCCATAGAAACTCTCAACACCACTTTAGACGTCCCGATTCCTACACAAACATACCTTAATAGGTCATTTATTAGGTCTCAACTTGAATACACTGGATTAATATGGAAGCCCCTGTTTATTAAATACTAGCTACTCTCGCGCGGTTTCACCCGCTGCTCGGCTCCATTTGATCGTAGCGTAATGTTTTATAGCCTATATCACTCAGGAACATTGTAGCTATCTGTCAATGAAAGAATTTTGGCAATTCAACAAGCGGTTCCAAAGATTACCCCCTACATACAAACTTACACATTTTACCTCTTTATAATATTAGTATAGATAATAGAAAGTTTAGAACATGTACATGTATTGTAATAAACGTCAAGCGACATTGTCCCACGAAGTTGCAGGGCCGTACTCGCGACTTGTAGTTCACCCAATGATAACGCGACTCCTGGCCGCCATGACAGTAAAATAAAGTAAAATATTCAAATATAACCTTGATACCTACATCTCTGATAGTTCTTTCAAACCCCTCCTCCTGAAAATATTTAATTTTAGCATGGATTAAGTTAATTGTTGAAACATTCCATTATTACCTCGTATACATGTATACAAACAACTAGCGATCGCCCGCGGCTCCACTCCCGTGGTTTTTTTATGGCATAGGTCGAGCAGACGGATTACCTGATGGTAAGACATCAGCGCCACCCATGGACACCCGCAACATCAAAGGAGTTGTTATCGAGTGCGTTGCTTGCCTTTTAGGGATAAAGGTTTAGGATAATTAAGGATTGGAATGAGATTGGGGTAGGGGGAGCGATTGGGCTCCGGTAAACTCACTCATTCGACGAAACACAACGCTGTGGCTGTTTCACGCCGGTTTTCTGTGAAGCCGTGGTATCACATTCGTGGCGAATTATGGCTCTCCCCACACGTGGATGGAAATAATTGTTTGCACTTTTTAATGTTTTTTTGGTCAAATTTTATCTACGTACTTACAATCCTTCTCTAGACTCTCACGAATAATTTAAGACCAAAATTAGCCAAATCGGTAAATGAATTATTGAGTTATAACATAACAACGAAAAATGGCATTGATTTTGATATATATAGACATATTATACGCATGTTTTATACTAAGAAGTTGATTGTTAAAAACATATTTGTATACCTCCTCGTCTTCAAACTCGACGTCACGTGCAGCCTGCATAACAAAGGTTTTTTTTAGTACGATACTAATTTTAACTTCAATATTTCTGATGAAGTATTTCCAATAAAATTGTCGCTTATTATGTTTTCACTTCATGGTCTCGGATAAAGCCGGACGCGAGAGGTCGCAGACACAATTACTTACCTGAGGACTCGATGGTACTCAGCCCAAGCAGGGCTAATGACACCGTCACCATATGCTCTACCGTGTCATCCGGGCATTTTCAATCCAAAACTGGTACCTCCGAAGCTTCCGTGCCCGGTAGCTACCAGCCTCCTCAAGTATGGGCATGGCTCGTTTTTTTTAAAGGGAAAGTTATGTATAAGTTTGCAACAAACGTAATACTAATATTCTTTTAGAGGATCAAAACAAAAAAGTAGCTACATAAGCTTTCGATGTAAAAAAACAGGATGTCAATGCATGATATTTCATAGAAAATATTAGTTTTATTTACATTTCGCCAAATGGATTGAATTTGACTTATTGGAAACTACCCTAATCAATGTTTTGTAGCATTGTCAAAAGCACATATTGCCTTTGAGATATTTTTTTTCTAACGCTCACTGAAAGGGTTTATAGTTAGGCCCTTTTTTCACTATGTATTGACATTGTAATACTAGATTAATTATATATAGAAGATAAAGCAGGATACCTATTACGGCAAATTATTAAAAAAACAAAAGTGAATCTAATATAAAATAATATAAGGTGTAATCTAAATCACGTAATATAATGAAAAAAAAGCAAGAAACAACATTGTGTCGTCAGAATTCAAATTCAATTTTCATTAACGTTTAACATAACCTTATTGTGTCATTAATAAAAATGGCGGGAAATGTTTTTACTCACCGCTGGCGCAGCTAGCACAACGACCAGGCATAGAGAAAAGAGTATAATCCACCTCATTGCTGCGAGTTCCCGACAACTGATAGTACAACCTCCTTGCACAGAATATATAAAAACACAGCAAGGACCGTAAAAAATCAATGATAATAATTACGCGGTCCCATAACCTACCATGAAATCAAGATGCGATTGTGAAAACTTAGCTTGTTAGCCATTATTATTAGTACACATTTAATTAATTAACTTCGTTTATTAATAAAATCGATTACAGCTTTGTGATGTTGTTCATAATTTGTCTCATTAGTGCGTTGTAATGAAAATATGTTTTTAATTTTTGTAATCTTGATTTGTGTGTAATAATTTTTAAAGCGGCCAGTTATAAGCACTTAGTCGTAGTAAATGAATTAAAAAAAAGAATGGGTTATTTTATAACGTGTACTTGGTACAGGATACATAACATAACCTTTATGATGCAGTGAGTAAAGCTATACGCCTGCTAAAGGTGAAAGCGTCAAGCAGCGCTTTAAAGGCGTAAGAAGAATCTGTCAAACAACAAAACTACAATGCAGTAATGCAAATAGATATCTAGAAATCAAGTAATATTAACTACTAGCTTTTACCCGCGACTTTGTTCGCGTGGAATGTCTGTACCAAATTTCACACAAATAGGTTCAGTAGTTTAGGAGTGAAGAAAAGACAGACAGGGTTACTTTCGCATTTACAATATAAGTTTGGATAAGTTCAAGCAATCGTAAATAAATTGAAGGTTTATTTTTAGCTCAATTTCATTTTATACTTTTCGGTTTTTCACCAGGTAAGTGCCTAAGTCTGTTAAGAGCATTCAACACATCATTAGTGCAAGGTTGGTTGCCAGTTAATTTTAAACAGTCCAGCTCTTCAATGAGAGTTCTTCTAATGATTTTGCTCTACTTAAGTCCCTTATTATGATTTAAATCAGCGGTTTCATCTTAGTTATCTTATCTTACTAGTATTATAAATGTGAAAGTTACGATGTTTGGATGTTTGTAATTCAATCACGCCAAAACGGCTCTACGGATTTGGTTGAAATTTAGCACAGGCACATAGGATACACTTCGGAATATGACATAGGCTACTTTTTATCAACATACAAGCCGCAGGTGGAAACTACTACTACTATTCTTAAACGCGTTACTAGGTAATCTTAGTTATAAGCTTGTGATTAGAAAGTATCAGTTAATTGATATGTTAAGCCTTAAGTGTGAATACTTGAATGGTCAGTTATACATAAGTAATGTGACAGAGTAATAAATATATTATAATCTTTAATTTTACAAGTATGTGTAGTAGTGTTTTTGAAGATGAATCCTGGACAGAAGTTTAGGAGATCCAAACTTCGGCACAACCGGAATGATACCACGGCCTCACAGAAAACCGGCGTGAAATAACCACAGCGTTATGTTACCGGAGGCCCAATCCTTCTCCTCCACCTCATTGCTCCCAAATCCCTAAATCTCCTGAATCCTAATCTCAAAAGACTGGCAAGGCACTCGTAACTCTTTTGGTGGCCGATTCCTTACCATCAGGTAACCAATCTATATAAACTATTTAGTAAAATGGCTCTATAGACTATTTAATCTCTTGACTTATTTACCTTTATATGTACAAAATAGTTTTTAATAAAATATTTTACATTGTAACATGTTCTTCGTGAGACTTTTGGGCCTTTTTTATCTTTCAAAGGCGGCGTCTATGAGTGGAAGAGAGGCGCGTCATACAGTCTGATAGTTAAATCAATTGGATACATTAGCCTAATAGCTTTGTATTGCAATGCTCGTAATGCCAACCAGATTAGTATGCTACGTTGTGTACTGCAAGCGATGAGAGGTAGCGATTTAAGATTACAAAAAAAATATCTTATATATAAAAATGGATCGCAAAATGTGTTGTAAGCGCATAACTCAACAACGCCTGGACTAATTTTGCTAATTCTTTTTTTGTTGTGTTTGTTATAGTCAGGAGAAGGTTCTTATCACAGAAAATATTAGAAAAGTAGAGGGGAAGTTTAGGAAAAAGTGACCTTTTGATAGCGAGATAGTTGGACCCGTGCGAAGCCGAGGCGGGCCGCTAGTATTATTATAAAAATATCTCTGGACGAGTGACTGCACAGGCTGGGCTACTGGCTATGGTGAACGTGGTGCGGATTTGATCCTAATTAAAAATCGCTTGTGTGAGTACCTATGAAGTATAATATATGTAATGTATGCCTCTATTCACCCAAAGATTTGATTCAAGATATTTAGTTTCTATGTCAATAATGTCACTAAAACGTATAACATATATAAACGGTTAAGTTTAAGTCTTAATGGATGGATATTTATTAGTTTATTAGTCAGGAAAAAACTACTTAATGGATTTTAACGAAGTTTGGCAAACAGATTATAACAGGGCTACTTTCAGCTTAATATCGGGTAAAATCACTGGTAGAAGCTAGTAGCTACTAGCTATTAATTACAATCCTAGATTTGTACAAAAACGCCCACCTCTTAACACTTGTACCACAACAAAACAAGCCTGATTACAGAGCGCGCCATACAACATACAAGTAACAACTCATGATAAACATTAGCCGTAGTTGTGCGCAGTACATTGCTGGGTACACACAGCAATCAACAATTACGGCGATACGATAACGTAATGTAATCTAAAGTTATTGACGACCTGCTTTTACACGCGGTTTCGTTCGTGTTTCAATTATATTTTTGGGGCTTTTGAGTAAAAGACCTTATTGACGAATTATGTATTTCTTTAAATGCTGTTCCCTTCGATGGTTAGATTGACTAGTAGAAGACACAGAAAAATCATTTTTATTTTTGAGCCAGAAAAAGCATCCTATAACTTTTTTCACCCTTTGTGGTGCAAGAGGCAGTGTCAGACTCGGCGGCGAGCTACCGTTGTTCGCCGTCCGCACGTCCGTAGTGAGGAGCAAATCATCGAATGGCTTCTCCCGCCCAGGGCCGGACGGGAGCGAGTGTCAGACTCTTACTGACTAAAAACCCCCCTGTTCCTTCTCCTGCTCTAGGCCGAGGCCGCGGTGACGCATTGTGCTTAACACGCAACCCTGGCTGAACATCAGCCCTATAGGGCCTCGTCTGTGGTAGTCTATTGGCTCTTTGAGGCGCGCGCGGAACACTACGCGCAGTACGCTCGGATATAACAACCCCACCTACGATTTCGAAGAAAACAAATATCTTAATGTTAAAGAAACAAATAATGATGAATATCTAAGTGTATGGGGCTGACATCTTTGCTGAAAACCCCTAAATAAAATTAGAATAAAAAAAAACAAAATCTAAGTGCGAAACCACAAACAGACATGAGAGAGATTAATTTTATTAGTAGTACTGAATCAAATAGGGACTACACTTTTATTTTGAAAAACAATTTAATAAGTATGCATCTTGCCTAAGTTTGCATAGTTGCACGTACTTAAAATAAACAAGGATAAGATGATTGATACCCTCAGTTCGATTCCCAAGATGGGTAGTGTTTTTTCATTAATTTTCCATTTCTTACTAGACTGATTTATATTTCCGATTGAAGTTATTAAGCAACAATGTTGTTGATATGTGTATGTAACAGAGGGATTACCTGATGGTAAGCAATCAGTGCCGCGTATGGACACTTGTAATACCAAAAGAGTTCTACAAGTGCGTTGCCAGACTTTTTGGGCAGTTAGGGATTCGAAGATTTTCTATGGCATAGGTCGGCAAACGAGCGGACGGATTACCTGATGGTAAGTTGGCGCCGCCCATGGACACTTTTAATACCAAAGGTGTTCTGTGTAACAGTGTAGGTGTTTAAGTGTAACAGTACTTTTGTGCTGTCAAAAACTCTTTACAATATAATAAACGGTTACGAAACAAAGGTAAATTGATAATACCGCAACCTCATAATGAAATGTATAAAAGAAACATGTATTTTACTAGTATAATGATCTACAACCATTTGCCCTGTAAAAAAGTGATATTCACTTTAACTAAAGAGCTTTAAACATGTAGTTAAAAGACTTTTAATATAACATTGTTTCTGTGATTTGAAAGAATATTTTGAAGCAAAGTCAAAGTCAAAAGTCAAGGTCGAAATCATTTATTCCAACTAACCATAAATAGGTACTTTTGAAACGTCAAAATAGAAAAGTAGTCTGTCAGTCTGTTCGTCAGTGAAGCTAGGTGCTCGTTCCAAATTGTAGATTCGAATGGAGAAGAACGAGCAAGAAACACAATCGTTAGGTACTCTTTTTAAAAAATATATATACATATATCTTTTACAATTTCAGTAATATAACATTTAGTATACATTATTGTACCCGTATGTGAGAACAATGCAGAGACAGGTTGTAAAAAAAAGAACAAATGATGGGATCTATCATTAGATTTTAATCCTTTGTCGTCTCGAACATGGCGCTCACATATGCGTACTCACAATCTTTAAGAGTGCTTCTATATAAACTCTTTGGATATATATATATATATATAAATTAAGGATTCATTCATTTTGAGAATTTTAGTAACTACTGACTATATACCTATATGTATTTGAGTTTTTATTATTAATTGAGAGAAAAGAAACAAGCGTGTACGTTGAAACTAACAGACTGAAGTTTGTTGCCATAGATTCACACACATAGAGTAAAAGAATGAACGGTTACATGCCAAATACAATTGGTGGAGTAGGTGGCGCCACTGTAGTTATAGCAATGATATTTATGATATACATATTTTAAGCATTACTACAACAGTTTTTTCCAGTGGAGCCGAAGCAAAATTATGAAAATTGAGATGCTTAAAGATTTATGTAAGAACACTGTAATTTTTTTTATACTTCTTATTGTTTTGTAGCTATAGTTTAAAGAAGCTAACATTTTATGTGATACCTACATTATGTGTCCAAGTGCATGCCTATGTAGGTAAATTGTGCAGAGCTGTACATTTATATTAAGAACATTCTTCTTTTTTTTCTTTAACCATAATAAGTGCAATAAAGATTTTTTATTATTATACAAAGCTTCTTGTGGGCTA